AAAAAAAAAAATTAAAAAAAAAAAAAAAAGAAAATATTGCAAGTTCTAAAAGCTAGGATTTGAGCAGCCTTGGCCAAGTTGACTGATCCCATCCTGAAGTGATCTGCACCCAAGAGAAATGTGTGGGGGGAGGGGGTGGGCATTTGGGGAGTTAACCGCTTGCTGTGCTAGTTGAGGAAACAGGCTGCAGTTGAAAATGTCTAACGAAGCTGACAGGGGTGCCTCGTTGGATTAACTCTCCCGTGTACCGTATGGCAAGCCAGAAGAGGACTCAGGTACATTCAGACCCAGCCTGGCTCCAGAGGGGGCAGATACTTAAAGTCACACAGCACAGTGGCTGTGCTGGCCAAAAACCTGGGCTCTTCCCCATTGCTGCTAGTGCAATGATTAGAAATAGATGCAGAATTAGTCTTGTCTGCCTGACTGCTCCCACCATTGCCTGTTTGGTTCCCCCCACCCCACCCTACCCTTAAACTTCTAACTCTTCTGCCTGGGAGGAGGCTGTCCCTTACACACAGTGGAAGTCAGGGTTTACTGAGCCATGCACCTCATTCAGCTTGCTTATACATTCTGAATACAGGATCCCTTCTTAACATCCCCAAACCAATATGGAACTGAATCTTCTTCCCTCACCCCTGCTCCCCCAAGCAGCTAGCCCCTCCCTGGTGGTCGTGTCCATAGGGTGGGCTGTTCATTAATAGAGCCTTTAGTTGCCAGGCCAAAGGAAGCTCTGCTTGTAAGACTATACCATTTATTACGTCTCTATGCCTACGGCTTTTACAATCTTATAGGATATAAGGAACAAATCTAACAGGCCAGGCGGTACCATGCTTGTTCTTACGGGTGCAGAATCTGAGGATGAGCAAGTTTAAGTAACTTGCACTAGCAGAGTAGTGGACAGAGAGGAGAGGATTTGAACCTCGGGCAGTCTAGCCGCACATCTGTCACGGGGCCCTGCTACCCATTCGTTATCCACCCCTTGGCCTTGCCCAAGAAAACACGTTGCTAGCTTTTATTTTGAGAATGAATGGGAAAGGAGTTGGAACAAAAAGTGCTTACAGCACTATTGACGGACACTTCAGTTATACCGCAGTGTTTAGATAACGGGTCTAAAGATGAAGTCTTCTCTGGATGGAGACAGACACAACTTCTGTCCTTGTCTTTTTGTGGTTTTTAAAATAATTGTAGTCTTTCCTTTAGTGTATTTTGTCACATTAGAGACAAAGTTGGCTTTTTTGCTGATAAAAAAAAAAATGTATCTTTATTGTAGAAAATACAGATGTTCACAAAAAGGAAGAGTGACCCCAAGTGACACACTAGGCTTCTGGCTAAGAAGATGGGCCCTGGAATTCTCTACTGAGGGGCTCAAATCTCTGTGGTGCCCCTGATGACTTATATGACCTTGAGCTAGTCACAGTTTCTGTGCCTGTATCTTTGTCTCCGGAGTTGAAGATCATACCCTTCATCATTGGGTTAAGATTAAATGATGCACAACCCTTACAAGTGGCCAAGAGATGGCTGATTAGCAGCTCAATAAATAATGTTCTGGTTTTCCCCTCTGAACCTGTATATGTGTGTGTAGATACACATATACTAGTATGCATATACTAATAAAAAATGAGTTTTTTTTTTAAAGAGCAGCTAGTTTTCACCTAACAATATATCATGACTGCTTTTCCTTACTTCTAAATAGCCTTCTCTGTTATTTGATGGCTGCCTGGGACCCCATGATGTGAGGGCATGAATGGAACTGAATCCATGCAGATTTCCAGGTCTGCTCTAACATTCATGCACTTGCAAATAAATCTGAGTAGATGTTGCACCATGAGTGGTGTCGCTCTAGGTGCCAGGAGCTTCCCACCCTTTTTAGAGCATACCTAATCTTCCCTGTCCTGGTGCAAATGAGGATCTGGGCATGTTCCCTTTGGGAGCTCAGAACTTTCTTCATTCTGAGTGTGGCAGCTGTGAACTTCTATATTCCAGCCCCATCTGGGGAACTCAGCCTCTGCCTCTTTTCCTTCCTCCCGTTTAAATCTATACAAACTATGTTTCTTTGCTTAGTATCTCTGGTATGCATTATCTCTTGGTTCCTGAGAAATCGCAAATCAGAAAGTACTCTCATTCTGTGTTTGCTCTGAGGTACTCAGAAGGTCTTGTGTCCTTTTTAAAAGGGTTTAGAGGTGAAATGCTAAGCTTCAGCTCAGCAGGGAGCCTGATGTGGGGCTCGATCCCATAACCCTGGGGGCTGAAATCAAGAGTCAGATGCTCAACTGAGCCACCCAGGCGTCCCAGAACCTGCATTTTGAACTGTATATATTCTAAAGGAGCTCAGCAACATTCCTGGACACTGCTGACTGAACATCCTCAGACAAAGCCATTTTCTTATGATGTTTAAGGGACAGGCATGAGTTTTCACTCTAATCTAGGGAGTATATCCTCACCTTTGAGAAAGGATAGAATTTGCTACTTAGGGCAGCGAATCTGCCAAAATTATGGTGGTGCCCCTGTGTCTGAGGTATGCTGGAAACGGCATCATGACTTCAACAGAAATAATCTGTGTATTTCATATTAAAAATAGATGGGGCGGCTGGGTGGCGCAGTCGGTTAAGCGTCCGACTTCAGCCAGGTCACGATCTCGCGGTCCGTGAGTTCGAGCCCCGCGTCAGGCTCTGGGCTGGTGGCTCGGAGCCTGGAGCCTGTTTCCGATTCTGTGTCTCCCTCTCTCTCTGCCCCTCCCCCGTTCATGCTCTGTCTCTCTCTGTCCCAAAAATAAATAAACGTTGAAAAAAAAATTATATTAAAAAAAATAGAAATGACAGGTATATTCCCGTGAGGATCAATTTGTAAAAAACTCAAGAGTTATCAATTCCTCTCTACAGTGTTTTCCAAAGCACTTTTGTTAATGTTTCCTTTGGACATCCTCCCTGGGAGAAAGGCTAAGTAGCATTGTCCTCCTTGCACTGATGAGGACACTAAGACACTAAGACAGGTGAACTGACTTGCCTTGGGCCTTGGAGTAAGGCTGGCAAGAGCCTACAGAACCAGGGTTGCCTTGGGGAAGTCCTCTCAATAGAGGCAGGAAAAGCTCCCAGCCAAGGAAAGAGCATCTTGCTAGTTCAGATGCTGCTGAGGCATGGAAAGAGCTGGACACTTCAGAGTCTCAGTTCAAGATCTTTGCTGCCTTGAGCTGAGCTGTAGGAGTGATGGATGGCAGGAGCCCATTAGTTTTGGCTCAACTGCTCAGTCTTGGCAAGGGGCCTTTAAACCTGATGTCTAACAAAAGTTTTAGGAATCCGATGTCATTTTCTTCCTGCAGTTCACATGTTGGCCTGTTCTGTAGAGGGGTTACCAACTATGTAAGGGTCATGTTCCTGTTAAGGGCTTTCTACAATTAAAGTATATTATATAAGGCAAAAGATGTAATGAGGCTATAGAGATGGCTTCTAATATAGAGGGTCCCTGCATCTGCCTCCACCCCTAGCTGACCTGCTACAGCTTGAATTATCTTGACTCACTGCTCGTAGGAGAGCGGTAGGTCCTCATTGGTTTAATGAGGTTTTCCTGCTTAGAAGTTAGTCTAAGGCTAACAGGGCCTTCTTTTTGAGCTTTATGTTTTCTCAGCTGAAAACTGGGTGCAGCCACCATGAAGGCTAAAAAGCCATGTTGATAGAATAATCCACTTCAGATACGGAAGCAGATTAACCTGTATCCAGCGGGAGTCAGCATGTTAGCCTCAGAGTGCCACTGTTCCTACACCACCCAGACCAGCCTCCTTTGCACTCAGTTCTGTGCATCTTAAAATGAGAGGTGGAGCAGAGATTTGCCATCTGGGGCATGGAACTCTACACGTTTTCTTGGACTGTGCTACTGATTTTCATGGAAATCCAAGCCAGATACGGTGAGGGCAGGAGGCCAGACTGACGTGACCTTTATCTGTGTTTTGTCTGGAACAGGGGTCCCTGGTCCCGTCCCTTGTCCTGTTCTTCCCGGATGGAACAAGAAGATAAACAGGGTGTGTGTGAAGCCCAGGACTCAGAAGACGAGGGGATGGGCTCTGATTTTGAGAACTCTGAAGACAGGGAACGGGACCCAGAAGAAACGGGAATGGGCTCTAATCCACAGGATGCACTCAAGAGACAAGACCACCCAGAGCCAAAGATGGGCTCCAACCCACAGGACGCAGCTCTAGGAAGGGACCCAGAGGAGAGGGAACTGGTGTCTGACATCTGCCCAGGTGAGGACGAAGCTGGCATTTCCTTGGAAGTTGTCCCACTCACCATCATTTCTAGCTCCTCTAGAGTTAGAACCAGGGGTGGCATTCGTTGCGGGAGAGTCCTTTAGTGGACACCATTAAACAGATTCGGTGCCACTGAAAGCCTGAGGAACAGCCTCTTCTTGAGTCCAGCCTGAGGTGGGATGTAACTGGTTAACACGGGTGAAGAGGGTAACTCACTGACGCGGCACTTTACAGGATGCAGAACACTGCTATAAATGAACACCTGGAACCACACGAGAGGGAACACAGCTAGGATCAGAACCTACCTCATCAGGGTGTTGGGAGAGTTCAGATGAGTTGTGCATAAAAACTTAGCACAGCACTGAGCAAACAAAGCATCCAGGTGTTTACAGTTACAGTCATCATCTTTGTTTGCAGATAAGTAAACTCAGTGGTAAGTGACTACCCAGGTGCATGTGGATAATGCCCAGAGGGCTCAAGGCCTCTGCTAAGTCCCTTGCTACTCCTGACCTGGAAAGAGTAAGTGCTGGCCCTCCATCCACCTCCTTGGTTCCACCTTTGGGCATTCGTTGCTTCATACTGCCCTGTGCGTGCCTGGGGGACAGAAGTGAACTCAAATACCTTATGGCCAAGACTGTGGAGTTACATTCCTTCCCCTGTGACACATCCTGGACTTCCTGCTGCCCTCCCCTGCAGTGTGCACAAGCACGTGGTCTTTTCATATCCTAGTAAGCTTCCGGAGTGCCCTCTGCTTAGAGATGGCCACCAGAGACGGACAGGTGTGCGTTTTGAGTCAGTCTCTAAGCTCTAGGCCCTGCGCTCACTCTCCCTGCCCGGCCTACATAGTAAAGCCCTTAAGTTGGGGTTGGTTGTTGTTCCACCCCAATAAATTATAAAAATCAGCCCATTACCTGGTTAGGACAGGTGGTCTTTTCTTGTGGTTGGCTGGACTGGTCTTGTCTTTGGAGGCCAGGGCCTGGAAACGCATTGGGAGCTGCTAGAGTGAGCCAATCTGTCCCTAGATCCCACAGAGCCCCACCTGCTCAGACTTGACCATTTCAAGCCGACTGTCAGGCCTTCAGATGTGTACCGTGGGTGGGGCCTGGGCCCAGAGGCAGCTGCTGGAAGAATTGGCCCCCCAAGGGAACAGGTGAGTGAGCCTTTCCCAGGTTTCAGAGCCCACTCTCAGGTAGGCCTTCCCCAGGAGGTACCAGGTGGGAAAGAGGCTGGAATCGTGGGGGCCCTGGAGAGACAGGCTTGAGAGTACCTGGGGAAGGGGATCACTCCGTGGCCCACACTCTAAGAGGCTGGTCTCCTCTAGGTTTACCTTTGAGCGCCAAGTATGGTCACCCCCCACTGCCACCTTTTCTGTTGCAGAGGGGCTGCTGAGTGAGGAAGAAGGGGCTGCTCTCCGCGAGGAAGAAGATTACCCATCTGGTGTAGCTGAGATGGCGATGTTCCCGGGACTGTCTGAATCGGACAGCATTTCCCGCAGCCCCCGGGAAGAGGAGGAGGAGGAGGAGGAGGAGAGCGCTGGGGAGAACCCGCTAGACGAAGAGGAGCAGCCGCCCCCTCCCATGCTTCCCTGGCGGCGGCACCTCTCCCTGGGGAGTCGGCAACGGAGCGACAAGCCTGCCCACCGCCGCTTCCGCCGGCTCCACCATCCCATGGCCATGGACCTCGGGGAGCTCGACAGCCTGATGGCCAGCATCATGGACGCGCCCACCATCTGCCCCGACTGTGGCGAGAGCTTCAGCCCCGGCGCCGCCTTCCTGCAGCACCAGCGCATCCACCGCCTGGCCGAGGCCGCCGCCGCCGCCAGCCTGGAGCCCTTCGGCTTCGCGGGCGAGTGCGGCGCGGTAGTGGGGATGGTGGGCGTGGGCGTGGCGGGGGGCTTTGGGGCGGGGCCCGCGCTGGCCCGGCCCCCGCGCGAGAAGCCCTTCCGCTGCGGGGAGTGCGGCAAGGGCTTCAGCCGCAACACCTACCTGACCAATCACCTGCGCCTGCACACGGGCGAGCGGCCCAACCTGTGCGCCGACTGCGGCAAGAGCTTCAGCTGGCGCGCCGACCTGCTCAAGCACCGGCGCCTGCACACGGGCGAGAAGCCCTACCCCTGCCCCGAGTGCGGCGAGGCCTTCAGCCTCAGCTCGCACCTGCTGAGCCACCGCCGCGCGCACGCGGCGGCCAGCGGCGCGGGGGCGGCGGCGCTGCGGCCCTTCGCCTGCGGCGAGTGCGGCAAGGGCTTCGTGCGCCGCTCGCACCTGGCCAACCACCAGCGCATCCACACGGGCGAGAAGCCGCACGGCTGCGGCGAGTGCGGCAAGCGCTTCAGCTGGCGCTCGGACCTGGTGAAGCACCAGCGCGTGCACACGGGCGAGAAGCCCTACATGTGCTCCGAATGCGGCGAGACCTTCAGCGTCAGCTCGCACCTCTTCACGCACAAGCGCACGCACTCGGGCGAGCGGCCCTATGTGTGCCGCGAGTGCGGCAAGGGCTTCGGGCGCAACTCGCACCTGGTGAACCACCTGCGCGTGCACACGGGCGAGAAGCCCTTCCGCTGCGGCCAGTGCGAGAAGCGATTCAGCGACTTCTCGACGCTCACGCAGCACCAGCGCACGCACACGGGCGAGAAGCCCTACACGTGCATCGAGTGCGGCAAGAGCTTCATCCAGAGCTCGCACCTGATCCGCCACCGCCGCATCCACACCGGCAACAAGCCGCACAAGTGTGCGGGCTGCGGCAAGGGCTTCCGCTACAAAACGCACCTCGCGCAACACCAGAAGCTGCACCTGTGTTAGGGCTGGGCCGCAGGGAGGCTGCCCTGGGGCTGGGGTGGGGGGAGCATGCAGGGGAATAGATGTTCTGGGGATAGGCCATGTAGAAAGAAATGGGAAGGGGCGGGAGGGGCAATCGGAGAGTGACGGGGGAGTCTTTTGGTGTTAGGGGGTCTTGAAGGGGAGGGTTGACTAAGCGTTGTTTGGGGGTGTTATATTTTGCCTGCCTCCTCCCCCAGGAGGGCACGCTTGGGGGAGATGTGCTTGAGCGCGAAGACTTCTTCAGGTGCACGCAGTAGGGGGTGAAGAGCACGGGGGGCGGGGTGGGGGGGGAGCAGGCGCTTTGAGGACCTTGAAGAAGAGGGGGCGGGGTGGGGGAGTGAACAGGATGGCAGGCAATAGGGTAGGTAGGGTGGTGATGGCCTGTGAATATCGGGAGAGGGCGTGGTTAGAGTGAGGATTATGGGATAAAATAAAAGGAAGGTATGAATATTTCTATCCTGGTCTCACCAGGCGTTAAGTCAGTGTTGGAACCTTGCCCTCCCAACAGCTGTAGTCCCATGAAAAGTAGACGAAACCTTGTCGATCCTATGGGGGAGGGTATTTCATATATTCTTCCCTTCTTTTCTCTGAGCCACAGTTAGCTGCTATTTTGAGGCATCCAGGGGAAACTGGGCAGGAAAGCTACACACTCTGTTTTCAAACGCAACACTGGGGTTTAGAAATGCGTTCGTAACTGGTTTTAAGATGACCTGGGTAAGCTTGGTCCTGCCCCTGGCTCTTTATTACTTCCTTTAAAATAGTCTATCTCCATGCTAGGTCAAGGTGGTCCATGTGGAAGGCCGGTGTGTGCCAAGCCAGGTATTTGAGGTCTCACTTGTGAGGTTCTAAGTGCAGGAAAATGAAACAGTCCCAGCTGTGTGTGACTTTCCCCTTCCCAGGTCAGCATGATGCTTGTTTCAGACCAGTGACCTGCTACAGAAGTCAACCAGCTCAGAGTTCTGCTAGCCTTACATGAGAAATCCGGGAAAGCAAATGGTCACATGTTGGGGTACAAGGCTTCTTTGTCTCATTTGCCTTCACTCTGTATCCAGTGCACCCCTCCCACCTTGGTAGTAATGGAGGAGGGAATGGAACAGCCACCTCTATCCATTTTGATACGGGCTTTTGGTCTGAGTAGAAATTTCTTTTTGTTACACAGGGAGGCACAGTAGAAAGCTTAAGGCTTTACACCAGAAGGGCACAAGCAGGGAGAGGTGTAAATGCAACATTGCCAAATAGCACAAGGAATGAATGTTTTCTGGTTGTTATATGAATGCCAAAACAGCACTTTTATATTTGTAAAGTGCTTTATGCTTTTTAATGATTGTTAGTTGTTTCTCACATCTTTGTGAGGTAGATCAGTATTATGATCGTAGGGAAGGCCTGGGGAGAAGAGTACAGCAGGCTGTTCTGAAGAGAGGCTGATGACCGTGGAGATAGGTACGGCCTGACCTTTTGTGCTCTCCAGCTCAGCTGCTAGAAGACAACCTGTCATGATTTATGTAATAAAGACACTGAAAATTCTTCTGCTTTATGGAAAACTTAAGGCTAGTCTAGAAGGGCCAAAGATGTCCTTGTTGACAAAGCTGGTCTTTGTCACACAGTTAGGGTGTCTTAGGTTTGTTGTATTTCTAGTAGGGCTGTAGTTAGATGACTGTTAAACAGATTTCGGTTACCTGTGCTGGAAATCCCGCCCCTGGTTTAGCCTCTAGAAGTTAGAGTTGTGGAAAGCAGTGTTGTTTTCCTCACCAGTGATCGTGAGTTGTCCTGTACCTTTCATGGAAGCATCTTCACAAGCTGTTGGACACACTTGAAGGAGAAGAAGAAAAATTGCAAGATTGTTCTTACGGTTTTAGCAAAGTTTCTGTGGATGCTGGTATTTTATACTTGATCAGTTGTGTTTTAGCCAAGAACCTCTTTGGGGACTGTAGGAAAGCATGTTTCTGTCCTTATGAAAACACTTTCTTAAAAAAGTCTTGAGACTTCTGGGCTTAATGTAATGCCTGTCGATCTTGCCCTCTTAATCAGTTTATTGTCACTTACAAATGCAAATAATACAGATTTTCAAAAGATAGATAATTTTGGAAGATACTAATTCTTTATTTTCTTTTAGTACTCGACAGCACTATGAGCAAAGTAAATGTGCATTATTTATTCTGACTCTTTACTCTGAATACTAAGTGTGTAGGACTCCTCTGAAAAGAATATAGCCAATTTGTAGGTAATCTTATTCCTTTGTGTGTGTGGTTTTTGTTTTTGTTTTTGTTTTTGTTTTTTTTTTTCGTGTACATCTACCTCTTCCAGCCGTTTTAAGTTCTCTCAAGTTCGTGCCTATGAAATCTCCTCTAACTTTTGATTATTCGGGGATTGATCCTCCACTTTATGGGTTATTTGGTGGTTTGCTGCCACTGCACAGTCATCTATATTAGCTAGGTTATGTATGGATGGCTTTCAAGAAAGAGGTCAACAGGGAAAGGAGACTGAAGCTAACATAAAATAACTTAGTGGCAGTGGAAATCTTTGGATTTCATCGACCTCTCTTGGGTACCATGGATAAGAGAGTCCTCTACTTCTGTATCCCTTTTGTGAGCAAATCCCTTAGTAGAAGAAAACAGTCCAGCCACCAACACCCCCACTCTCATGGTGCATTTAAAATGTGATTCCACTCTTACAATTCTTCAGGGAACAGAGCTGCATTAGGTGACTCGAAATGCAGTCAGGAGATTGTTTCTCGTATTTAGTTTGAGAATTGTTTTTCTTCAGCCAGCGCTTGTTAACTGTGGTTCACCCTTAAAAGTGTTACTTTGAAGATTCCTTCCATCAACTCATTAATGATGGCGGAGGCAAGTGTATCATTTGTTTCCTGGGGAGTTTGGTCAAGTACAGGCTGCTCCTTACTTGGCGAAGCCAGGAGCAGTTTAAATAGGTTAAATGGCTTGACGAAATCTTGAGTTCTGAGTTGGAAAGAGAAGATGAAAAGTTAACCCCTTGAGCCGTGTGGTCTCTTCAGGATCAAGAGCCTTGTACATATGTGAAAAGTACAGATTAAGAACCTGTGTTCATAGACAATCTGAACTGTGTTTCTGAAGTTTGTGCACATTTTCCTTCACTGTAATGTTATTTTACAGCTGTTTGTTAAAATAGTGAATAATTTAATGATCCTGAAAATAACAGTTTTTGTGTGTGTGCTTGTATATGTGAGAACTGCCTTATTTTCAGGTTGTTTTATTTAATGATGGTTCCTTGGACGGCATTCTGGTGTTCAGCCACCAATATGGAGTATTTGTCATTAAATCCATATCAGTCTTTCCCCATGTCATTCTTTTCTTCTTTGTCATCCATTGAATGTCACTCAGATCAGTATATGGAAGCTATGTTGGTAGAACAGGGGTCAGCAAACTACCAAACCTAGGCTGCCTCTTTTTGCAAGTAAAAATTTTTGGGTGACAGTCATATCCATACAACCTTGATTACAGATTGTCTGTGGCTGCTTTTGCTCTACAACAGCAAGGTTGAGTCTTTGTCACAGAGGCTGCGTGGCCCACAATCCTAAAATATTTACTCTCTGGATCTTTACAAACAAACTTTGCTGACTCCTGTGTTATTAGAATGTTCAGGTGGATCCTAGATCATCCTGGAACTGGCTGATGTCTAAATACTCTGCCCATTTTAACCAATAATTCAGCGGGGCACTTCTGTACTAATGGGACTTTGGGGTGTTGGGAGGATGTTAATGCAATGCCACTGGTATCGATATCCAAAGATTTGTGTGTGCATTCCTTGTATGAACCAATCTGGGGCATTTAGGCAGCGGGCAGGGGAAAGTCGGGGTGGGGCGGGGAGGCAGCCCTAGGTCTCACCTCTAATCTATTAAAAGAATATATTCCTGAATCACCTAAGAAAGTATTTTCTTTCCCTCAGCTCTCAGAAATGTAACTTAATGGCTACTGATAATTCAGAATGGAACTTATCAGCTAGACTGGACTCCTACTTAAAATCTTTTTTAGCTGGTTTCTGCCCAACCTCATGGAAACAATGAGACAGCTGTTTGTAAGAAAGGGATTCACAAGAACTAGAAAAGAGGAAGCGTGAAAAATACCTTACTTTTTTGTAATGATCACAACTACCTCCTTGTGTGTCTGCTGGTCCTTTGCCTGACAGCTCCAGTGAACGCTGGGTCCTAGTTGTGGAGGGGGCGCTCCCTTCTGAGATTGCAACATTCTGGCTTGAAGCAACCAGTCTAGCTCCTGGTTCTAGGGACGAGTATTTGAAGTATTTGTCTGGTGCTCTGTGGGGACATAGCAGTGAACCTGGCCTTCTGGGCTATGCCACGAAAGGATGTTCAGCCTGAACTTGCTGTTAGAGCAGGGCTCAGTCCGAGGTCCAGGTGGAGAAAATGTTATCTGGTCAATTTGGAATTCTTTAGGCTTAATTAGTTTAAGATCAGGATTTTCTGAATTTAACCTTAACTACACAGTAGAATTACCTGGAGAGCTTTAAAAACAAACAACCTCCTTCCCTCCCCCCCCCCCCAAAAAAAAAACCCAAAAAAACTGGTCCGGAGATTGATTGATTGATTGATTGGTCTGGAGTGAAGTCCAAGGACCTGTAATTTTTATAAAGGTTCCCTAGGCAACTTTAATGTGCAACCAGGATTGAGCAATCTGTAGGACCATTTAGGCATCTCCTTTCTTTCTTGGCGGTTACAGTAAGTAAAACTGGTAAGCCTCCCATCTCTCCTCTGCCAAGGGGTATAGAGGCATAGGGCATTGTCAGATGCTGCTGGCTTTGCTGCCTGTCATTCCTGCTAGGCCTGCCTTTCACACGCACCTTCCCCAAATAGATAGTAAGTAAGGGCCAGGGGAGTGCCCACATTCACCCTTCATCAGGTAGTGCCAGATAGGCATCACAGGCAGCTGCTGGCCTTCCTTTGTCTTTGCCTGTCATAGACTGCCTGCCTTCCCTTCTTTCCGACCTTCATTCCGCCTCAGCTCACTTAACAAAGCAAAATTCCATTCATTACTCCTT